GTGTTAATATTCGTATCTACATATAAAAAAATATTTCTACAAATTACAATTGTTGAGCAAAAGAAAGGGGAATAACACTCGTAAAAAACTAACTTTATGGTGGGTACATTTTTAATCAGCCGTTGCATAGTCGTTTGTATTGTATCTCCAGAGGGAGGAAAAATCGCTGGTTTTAAAGGGTAGTTTTCCTTATTCCCGTCAACTCGATTTCAAGTTTAAAACTTATGTCGTTTCACGTCTCGATGATTATAAACATAAATATTATAAAGTTATAAAATTTAAATATTGTTGAAATAAATGATTTAATTGTTGCATTGGTTTAATTTCTCGACATATATAATATAATACCAGTTGTATAATGCAATATAAGGTGTGGTGAATTGGAAGTCGTCACTCGTGAATAACTCGTCGCAAAAATGGATACAGATATTTTTATTTGATTTCTAATGTTGCAATGAAAACAAGAAATACATTTTTGGCATCATATTATATAAAAAAAAACCGACCGTCCAATGATTTGAATTGACGTTTTAACAGAAACTTTGAGTATTTCATATATTTAATGAGGCATATAAATATATTATGTATTATATCAATATATTAAACTATTATAATTAGGTACTAAAAACATACAACCAACTAAAAATATTTTCTGATTAAAACATATAGGTAGGTGCAAGTCATAAAAATCAAAAAGTACCTTTACGGCTTTACCCATAATCATAATTGAGATTACAAAAATTAATATTAATCTAACTCAAGAAAAATTCTTATATTTTATAATTTGTCAAAACGATAAGTAAATAAATTATTTTAAACGTTCATATGTATATTACATTATATTCCTAAGTAGATATATAATGAGTAATGTACTATATACAGTAATAGAATAGTTATTATGATTTATGACCAAAATGGCATATTAGTGATTATATAAAACATGATATAGGTATTATAAGGTTACTAATTATAATGATATTACTTAGAAATAAAATGTTAATGGTACTCGAACTAACTATAATTGTATATACAGCTGTAATGGATAACGGAAAAAATATTTCATTCGCTGCACACAGATAATATTGACACGGTCTCAGGTAATGGGTTGGTCGTTAAAGAAAAAAAATACGACTTGTATACGGCGGCGTAAGAAAAAGGGGAATTTACGAGTGTTTTTCAGCCACACAACCATAAAACTCGGAAATAAAGGCATTTGGTCAGCAGCAATGCAACAGTATTGAAGTCCCATAGGAATATAATGTGTATGGGCTAGGCAGACGGAAATGAGCTGCTAAAATACGGGTGCAACCGATACGATCACAGGCTCTCCGACGTTTGTTCTGTGCTGGTCCGTAAGGCTGCGTATGTGTACCTACCTATTATCAACAGGCGATAATAAATAGCAATCCAGGAAATTAAAAAGAAAACACCAAAGGCGCCTGATGATATTATGTACCTTTATTTTGGTATGGCAAACTACAATACGTTTCAGTCGTCTCAAATAATAAAAAAAAAAAATACCTAATATACAGTAATACACTATAATACCTATGTATACGTTGTTTGTCATTATAGCTCTGCAATATCGATGTAGAATATCTTAAAAATCTTCAAAAAGGATTTAATAGTTTTAATATTATGATTTTATTCGACGTATGATTATGATTTATGATAGCATATGAAATCCGTGGGCATATTTATAATATAATATGGGACAATATGCAATATGCCATATGGAGATAAACATCCATATTATAATATAGCTTAATGTAAAGTAACGGACATTTTTGATTATGGTCATAAAAATGTCTACTTTTAATTATTTACAATTTCCAAAGATTGAAGTGGATAAATAAGAATGTTTCTAGTATTGTAGATAAATAAACAAATTGGTATTTGTAGTTGTTATTTATAATACAATACATTAACACAATATAAAATACATCCTAATAAAAATAATAATAATATAACTATAATAGTGTCATATTATAATATAATGTATGTATTAACGATTTGGAGGTAGATTAAGCACGATCGGACAAAATAAGAAACTGCACCGAGTGGACGATTTTTACTAAGCCAAATTAATACAAAATTAATATTTATTAAACATAGACAGTTGTATTTATTACCATATTGTTTGCATTTTTTTTATACTTGCATTATTTATTATGTTATATATTACTTATCTAGTTTTAGTAACTATTTTTTCATACAATAATATTTCCTTATACAGCTTATGTGTAATTACGATTATATGATAACAATACATTTGTGTCTATTCTAAGTCGTTCATTTTGTAAAGCCGGTATTACACTGGATATTCAGTCGGTTGACAATATACTGTTTCGTCTCGAGCGTGTTGTCGATTTGTAGATTTATTATTAAAGTATTATTATTATTATTATTATTATTGATTTTGTAGAAAAATAAAAAATTATTTGAGAATATTTGATTATAAACCAAATATCATATCGTATATTCGCGTAATTTTTATAGAAATTGCTGTAGCAATATTATTATAATTATAGAGCAACTTAAACGAGATCACTAGTCATTTCATAATACATTATGTCCATTTGAAATAATTATATTTCATAAGAAAAATCAAATCAAATTTGACTAGAGACGAAAAAAGTTGCCTGTGGGCGGCAATTGCGTTAATCCGACTACCTATAATCTACCACACAAAAAAAACTACATAATAAGTATATTATATTAAGTTTTTTGATTAACTATATACAACAATAATATTATGTTCCTTTTAAATAGTTCACACTCAAATGACATGATATTTTTGGTTTTCCGAATAGAACAAAAGATAACCAAATCGTGGAACGGTGATCTGATGACATAAGAATACACATAGGTATCTTATTAACATTTTATGATGTGGCGTCCCTGGGATGCACCCGTTCTGCACCATCAACGATTAGTATAAACACTTGTTATAATACGAACGGTGCACGCACACTCAGGAGTAGGGGAGTGGGCTAAGAATAGTTATAGTTATTATAAACGATTGGATATATGAAAGGAATCTAAAAAAAAATAATAATAATAGTAAAGTGTAGTTTTGATGAATCTACAGCTTTGTGACTATAAACAACAAACAAACGAGCAAAGTCATTCTGAGGTATAACAGAACTCAGGAGTCGGTGATCAGTAGCAGCAGTTATTATCGAGACCGTGAAACGTATAGGTATAATAGGTATAGTGGGTACACACTATGTACAGTCGTCGGATGGGCGCTAATGAAAAGTACATGGCCGTCCGGAGGCCACCCGCATCCAATTAACGTTAACAATGACAACCGTAGTTGTTGTGTTCAGGAATTCCGAACCGTTTTCGGCACGCGTCTTATCTTCGCTTTTTCAGTAAAATGATTATATCTGAATAGAACGCTGTTGCCGAGTAAAAAAAAATAGTGTATTCGTTTTATGATAGATGCTGAATCTTATACTAAGAGAGCTGCGAAGGGAGTACCGAAGAAGTTGACAAACGTAAAATAAAATGCTACCTATAGTTATATATGCTGCCAATCTCGTGGCACTGACGTACCTAAATATAGATATTATATTTTAATTAAGACCAAAGTGATAACGGTAAAACAAAATATTCATAAATCAAAAACATTAAAACATAATATTTTCTATAATAACTAATAACAGATTACAGATTACAGATTTTTAATGTTAATAATTATTTTATAAAGATATATATATAGGTTATTATTGTTTGTTAAATGGAAAGCTTTTTATATAAGTATATAGGTACATAAATTAAATATATTTAACTATTCTTTATTGGAAAGTTTTGATGCTATCGAATTATTCCACCTTTAGACACCTATAGATTTCACTATAGAGTTACGTCTTAAAATTCAAAATATAGATATAGTGAAGAAGCAGGACTTGTTGGTTTTACCATGTGATTTGTTATTTTATTGGAAAAGCTCAAAAACCTATATGCTGCAGTATACTGCTACTGCTACCTCTTTATATTGTAAGTCAGACATATTTTATAGTGTATATTATACAGTCGTAGATAAGTATTTTTTTTTGATTTTCATTATATTAAAACGTATACACAGATTTTAAATATTAAAGATCAGAATAATTTTTTGAATGTTTTCAGTTTTCAAATATAATGATACCACAATGGCCAATGGGCTATATAATATACTCCATTACTCGAGTATGGGTAATTACTGATTATTTCCGATTTGTACTATATTTCAGTACAGTATGAAATTATAACACGCCAAAAATATAAACTATATATTATAATATTAGTTATTACATAGTGCACTGATTAGCAATAGGTATAATGTGTATCTTTAGACGTAGCAAGTATTATTTTTATAATAATCTCGAAAATGCCAATTTTTGAGTTGTGTCACTATTCTTGTGCACCGACGATATGTAATACATTATAATGACAACTATCAATATATTATTATTATGTGCATTTTACGTAGGTATATATATATATATATACCTACGTAAAACACACAGCATTAATATTTATAATGAAATAAAAAATATGTTCGTAGAAATAAAAAATCGTAAGTATAAATATATAACGAGTCAACAGATACCTATTAATAGTACCTAGGTAAAATGTTTAGGAACCTTGGTACCTAATTCATAATAGACCTGTAGGGCTACATAGCTATTATAGCTACTGTAAGCGAGTATACCTATAGGCTATTTAGTTAGGAGAAAAATCCATTTTTGGAAAACGTTAATTTAGGATTATCAAGTTATATTTTATACATACATGATACATAATATAGTATTAATTCATAATATAAACCATAGCTATTGCCTATTGATATATACCCATAGTCATATACTAATATAGGTATATACTATACCGTGCAGGTATATTGGTACCGTTAATCATAAAACTAAAAAATTATTTGAACCTTCAGTAAAACCAAAAATAATATAATAACATTGTATCATATAGGCATGGTATAAAAGTATACAACTGACCCAGGTTCGACGAGCGGCTGATTTTGCTTGGCGAACGGCATGCACAAGTCAGCCGGTACAAACCACGATGGGCTGAACGCGGCGGCGGCCGACCCGGGGCCACCGCCGCCGGGCCCGCCGGCCGCGTGGTGATGGTGTCCCACGTTGGCCGCGGCCGGATGTCGTTGGAACGACGCGGACGCGTAGTCCATGGCCATCGCCTGGTACGGCAGCATGATATGCGAGTGTGAAAAATCCAGCGTACGTGAGCGCGAGTCAATTGTTAGCTGCGGCAGCGCATCGCTTACTTAATTTATGAAAATATATTATTCGACGACGACAAACACCTGCGACCACGACGACGGTTAACACACACAGCGGCACTGTTAAACGACGATCTATACTACATATAGGACGATATGCACGCGACACGTATAATATAATATTAAATGTATGTTACACCCTGTACACGCGTAAGGTACGAACACTCGGACGAAATCAAAGTCGGACGAATGAAAAACGTCTCGTGGACGTGAAGATCTTCATGGCGAGCCGTAATTCTCACTATAATGTAACACGATAATAATATAATATTATTATTAGATAGTAGCGAGGTACGTATATTCGATGAGATGAACACGCGTAAACGTACAATGCGTATTATAATATTATTATGTGCTTGTGCGCGCGTGTTGCATAATATTGTAGAGAGGTGTCACAGTACAGCAATCACACGTCGTATCGGCGGTACCTATATTAGCGAGAGCGCGACGTTCGAAAAAATCCAAGACGAGACGTCCGGGACGGGCTGCTTGCGGTCCGCACTGAGACGACGTCGGTCGTTCGTGCCGGCGCGCGGAGGGTTCGACGCGGCGCGACACATCCGAGACGCTGCAGACGGCGGCGGAGCGCGCGCGCTCTTCGCCGGACACGCCCAGGCACGTACACCATTGGTCCTCCACACGCTCCACCCACGTACGCGCGCGCGAACGTCACGTCACCGCCGCCGCTTACCTGTTACTATTTTTGTTACACCGTACGACGCGCATATTATATTATGCTATACCGTTTTGCCGAACTATATTCATTAACGACGGAAACGGCCGTCACGTGCATCTCCCCCTCGCCCCTAACGAATACCTATATGGCTATATATATGTACATCAATATATGGTGAGTGGGTGTGTTTTTGTGCGTGTGTGTGGGTGGGTGTGGGTGCGTGGCGCTCTTCCCCAAAGCTGCAGAATCTTGTGGGTTTTAGAACCTCAGCACGATCCATTTTCTCGCCCCGTTTCCGATGCTGATTTTCCTTATTATTATTGTAGACTGCTGTGCTTGTCATGTGTAGTACACTAGTACCTAACCTATACTGCGTGTAACGTGTCATTGCAGTGTTCATAGGTATATTCCTTTTATCAATTTATATTGGTATTTTTAATTATTATCTTTTCGACACAGTTGTTCACTTATACTTTACAATACCCATATACCAATACCTTAAAAGAATAAAATATAAATAACACTGGGTTAATAAAATGTATATAGGCAGTTTGCAGGTAGATTGTATATACCTCCGAGTTCTGAGTTATGAAATATAATATAGGTATACTAACATATTTTATAATATTCGTTCAGATGACCGAATAATAATAAGCAGAATTGTGACTATATACCTACCTAATATTATACTGTATATAATATAGGTATACACTGGTTGCCTGGGTTAGTATATGTAAATTATAAACTATACATAGGTAGGTATACAAACAATACAATATAGGTAGGTACCATGTAAAAAGATTTTAATATCAAATTATTTAAATAAAATCATCACTGAAGCTTCTTCTGCAGAAATGTATGGTCAACTGATACAAATTTTAAAAAAAGACTTCAATGTTGAAATGTATAGGTATAGGTAATATAATAGTTAATACATTTTGAATGGCTATAAATGTGGAAAAGGTTCTATAAATATATATAACCTACAGGCTACAGGTAATGTACCTATGCTAAATATATGTTACATACGAATCACATAAGAGGCAAAGTAATTATATACTGCTATATATGCTGTATAATTTATAATAACAATAATATGATACCAATGGACAATCGCTGCATGTCTGCATATATTCAAATCATATGCAAAAAGTCTTGTGCCCAAAAATATATAGGATTATTAGTATTAATTATGTATAGGTAGCTATAGTAATAATCTTTATTTACAATTTATTATTTAAATATTTATAAATATATATTTAGGTATATACCATTATTATTATACCTATGTATAGGTATGTCTACCTATATATGAATACTTCTGATACTAAATTTTTAAATATATAATTAAGTGACGGTGTTAGTACTAAAAAAAATGTTTATTATGATTAACGTCTTTAAAAAGTAGGGATAATGTTTTGATAGATGTAGTATTTATTATAAAAAATGTAATCGTTTTTGCAAACATAGTACCAACCTGAAACACCTAGTACCTACCTATACGTAAAACATTCTTATAATATTTCTTATAATATGTTTTCATCGTAATTTGTCACAGTTCAGTGAATCATTTATTCATTTTTAAATAGAATAAACATTAATTCATATTTTATTCATTTCATAGACCACCAAGAAACGTGTAAAGGTCATCTACTAACCAGTAGAAAAAAAAAATTACTACGCTACGTTAATTTTGTGGTAGATCCGACATGACCCATTTAAGATAGACCAACCTGTCACAATAATTGTATTATTATCTATGATTTTAATATTACGAATGTACAAAGCACATAACATTTCAATATAGTTTATAAATTAATGTAAAATCATGTTGAAGCCGATAATTAAATATATATCCATATATAATTTATTATAAATATATGAGTATGATAACTACTTATATATTACAATAATTATAAACATAATTATCTATAGACCTATAATATATACACAATTACACCAAAGAACTAAAACTTGGTCATGGGGGTGAAAATAACTGTCGGTTAGCGAATGGTATAGTCACTTATACCTTCAAATCACGTCCAATAATTTTCAATAGGCTAAACGTGTCACGAGAGCGCATATTCGAAATTTGACTTCCACTCCGTGCACAGTGCACACACGATATAACATAGAATATAACAAACTAATTTAATTTAGGTGCACATCATTGTATAATATTGTATTATGTCGGTGATGAATAAATGATTCGATCGACAAATCTTTCAAACTGGGTCAGATCAAATAAAAAAAAAAAAAACCCAAGTGTAACCACGTGCTACGGGTGCAAGAGATAATATTTTCAGACATACCTATAGATATATACACCGTGGCAGAGATACCGTTCTCGTAAAATAGCGAGTGCCCTGTATACATTTATATATACCTATAAAGTGGGGGGCGCGTGTATAAAGGGGGTCTCTACCCAAATCAATATTCAGGACGTTACTCGCTTGCGGACCTCCGCCACCGCCACCGACGTCGGTGTTTGGCAAATGGCCGGCTCGACATTCCGTCACAGTCCTATCTGTTCCTGCAGCACACTAAAATATAATGGAATATTTATATTATTTATGGGGCCTGATCGACGTGATCTACCGATGAACAATCGTTCATCACGTGGAATTTATAATGAGCAGCTTGACATTAAAAAAAAAAAAATGCGTTTATATTGTATGAGTAAATTGTTATGACCATATTATATAGATATTTATATAAATAGCATATGCGTATAATGTGCCAAAATTGATTTTGCGTACCTAGACTAAGGTAGCCAGCAAGATTTGTATAATATTAGCAGGGTACTTATATGCTATGTTACCAAATCATAATATTAACCATAGTAATGAATAATTATTATACTAAGTATTAGGTAGGTACATATTAATATATTATAATTATATAAATAAATGAGTATAAACATTTATAATTATAAAAATATAAATGTTATAAGACAACATAACAGGGTTAGCTCTATATGGGTATAATAAAGGCCAATTTCTTATGTAATTATAATACCATTGATTTTGATTATAAATATGTTACTACCTATGCTATAGGTTGTATAATCAATAATAATACAATAATTACAGAGAATAACTGCTTTTGGAGTTTTGAGCATATGCGTGGTCCAAACTTTGAAAGGCAGCTAGTATACCTTTTTTATTTGTTAAAGGCATTAACTTTTAGAGACAATATTATATTAAATATTGTTGATGTAGACTGGAAATAGAATATAATGAATTCTTATAACTGGTCAAAATTTAACAAAGTACCCTTAAGAAAATTATTGAAAACTCGGAAAGTTAATGCAATTGTCTAAAAACATAATAACAGTAAAATATTAATGGATGATATACTTTCATAGCAAGAATATCACCAATTTATTTACTACGCAGGACGTAAAATCCTTTAAATGCAGTGGGGGCATACATAATGTAACTTAAAAAGGCGGCGACGTAAAGGGACGATATTTACGACGATGAGAAAAAAGAATAAGCCTATATATACTCCTTAAGGCTGACAAATGATGCCATTATGACCAACCACATTTGCCTAAGCCTGGGTCCTTGATATTTTCTGTCTGAAGTATTTCTGCAAAATGTCCACGTCAAAATACTACTATAACCTGCATTTGTCTATAAGATTAGCCGCGATAGTGGTACCTACATTTCTTTACGGAAGACCTATCTCTAATAGAATCAACTTTATCTAAATCTGTCAGAACAGATTGTATTTATGAAATATGGAGAAGTCAAATAAAACATAATCTGAGCATAATTATGTCCATCAACAATATGCATTATATGCATTATTCAATTATTGTACAATCTAATAAATCTATTCTCTGTATTAGGTACATAATATATAAAGATATAAATTGGAGAGAAATCTGTTAAATCATTATAAGTTATTATACTGCTTACTTAAGTATAACACGTAGAGACATTTTGGTTTTTCCCAATTATTTTAAAAAATATTGAGATTTTCGATTTTGACTTCTTAAAAGTACCAACTAGAGCTTATTATCTATCAAAAACCAACCTCAAATTTGAAGTTCAATGCATTTTTTTTACCATAGGTATTCATCAATCATCATACATATATAATATATATGTACACATAAAAAATAAAACAACGTACACAGTACACATTGTAAAATAAATACATTCATTGCCCCACTTAGAATCTAAAACAAATATTATAGTACAGTAACTCTATAATTTTATGATATTAT